TCTGAACCAAGTTAACACAGAGCCCTGTCAAATCATTATGTCCATCACTGCTTGCTTACAATCATACCTTAAGTAACTAACATCTTAGTATACACAGCAATGTCTGTGACCCTGCACTCTCAGTTTGGTTTAAGGAGTGACTTCTTAAAATTGACTATGACTGTATTTCTACACCGGGCCTATCCACCTCCACCAGTTTGTACTTGCTTCTGAGGACAGTATTCTTCTCTTGAAATAGCATGCAGGTCGTGTCTGGTGCCCTGAACACCAAGGGGTCTTAACTACTGAGCTAGACCTCCAGTCCAGTGGAGATATTTGGATGCACTAAATCTGCAGATTGCCTTTGCTAGTACACCCATTTTCACGATGTTGATTCTGCCAACCCATGAGTGTGTGAGATGTTTCTACCTTTGGTTTCATCATCAATTTCTTCAGAGTTTTAAAATTTGTACTGTAGAAGTCTTTTGTTTTCCTGGTTAGGTTTACCCCTGGGTTTTTGGTTGGTTTTTTGGCTTTGAAGCTAGTATGAATGGGATTGCTTTTCCTGATTTCTTTCTGAGCATGTTCATTATGTATTCAGAGGAAAGCTACTAATTCTTGTCTTTACTTTATAGCCTGCTCTTTTGCTGAATGACTGTCATTTTTAAGAGTTTTCTGGTGGCATCTTTAAGGTCTCCTCTTATCATCTGCAAATCAGCATAATTTGACTTGTCTCTTATTTGTATTCAGTTCTGTCTTTTGTGTTATACCTCTAAGGATTAAATGACCATACTGAATAAGAGTAGAAAATGTGAATATACATCTTTTGGGTACAGACCTAAAGGACTCTAAATTAACATACCACCGTCATACCTACATGTGATGGCTATTCTTGGTTGTCAACTTGACTACATCTGGAGTTAACTAAAATCAAAAAGTGGAGGGCGCACCTGTAAAGGATTTCTGCCTAACTAGAAGTAGGAGGATCCACTTCTAATCCAGATCTTAAGGCAGGTGCACACACACACCATTAATCTGGTCTTGAAGTGGGAAGACACATCTTTAATCTGCGCCACACCTTCTGCTGGAAACCTATATAAAGACATGGAACAAGGAAGCTTTTGCTTTTTGCCTGTTTGCCCTCCCTTGCTAGTAAGTCCATTCCTTCACTGGCATTAGTGTCTACTTCTTCAGGATTCCAGTGTATACTGAAGACAAGCTGAGACATCCAGCCTGGTGGACTAAGCAACTTCTAGATTCTTAGACTTTCCATTTACAGTTAGCCATTGTTGGATTAGCTGGACCACAGCCATTAAATCATTCTAATAAATAATATATATATATATATATACATGAGAAATATTTGTAGCATATATTACTGGTAAATACACTATCCCCCCCCCCAAAAAAAAATCTTAAGAGCTTTTGAAAACCAAGGAATAAAAGACCACACACAACCACACAAATTTAGAACAATGGGCAAAAGTCATGAAAATGCTTCCTTAGGATATGATAAACAAATGTCCCTTGATATAGAACATGATGCTCAGCTTCTACAATAAAGTTTTATTCATGACAAGAATAAAATTATGTTGTTAGCTGGAAAATGGGTGCAACTAGAGACCATCCCATTACATGAAATAAGCCAGGCACACACACACACACACACACACACACACACACACACACACACACAAGTGCACAAATGCACGCAGCATAAAAGCAAAAGGAACACTGAGAGAAGGAAAGAGATTAAGGTGAGGCAGACAGAAGTTGAGCTATAGGAAAGGAATGGGAAAGACAATAAATATGGTCAAAGTACATAATTCACTTGAAAGAAATTATCTTTATGAAACCCATCATAATGTATCATAAATCTACACCAATAAGAAAAAAGAAGAAATAAAATCACCACAATGGCAGCAAGGATATGGGAAAAGAGGAACCTTTCATCACTGCTGGTGAGAATGCAAACTGGTGTAGCCACCCTAGAAAGAAGTATAGGTTTCTTAAAACCCGAAACTAGAATTACCATATGACTGAGCTATATAGCTCCTGGGTCCTTCCGGAGATGTTTACACATCCATGTTTACTGCTGCACTATTAATAATACTTGAGAAATGGAACCAGCCTAGAAAGTCCATCACAAGATGGATGAATAAAGAAAATGTAACACACAATGGAACTTTATTCAGCCATAAAGAAAAAATGAAATCATGCCATTTGCAGAAAATGAATGGAACTGCATGTTAAGTGAAATATGCCAAACTCAGAACAACGAATACTCTCAAATACGGAACTTGGATTTTTAATGTGGGGACGGGGGCTACGTATAGGTCATGAAACTGGAAAGGGGACCATGAAAGGGAATGAAGAAATCTTCATCACAGAGGAGAGGGAGAGAAAAGAGAAAGTTAAAGAACACATGTAACATAAAAGCAGATGGGGGGCTGTGAGGTGAGGAAGGGAACCAGCCAGAGGCAACAGGGAAAGATGAGAGAGAAGGACAAAATGTACATGAAAGTACTAGACTGAAACCCAGTACTCTGTACACTAAATTAATTTTTTTTTTAATTTAAAGCTCTTCTTTTGAATAATGAGAAGCAAAGACATGTTTAAATACAATGCACAATCTACTTAACTACATTGTTCTTGATTTCAGTTTTGTGAATATCTACTAAAAATATTAACTTTCACATTACCAGAAGTGTTGGGATTTACTGCAGACATCACAGAATCCGCTTCTATCTAGAAAAGAACAAAGATTGAAAGGACATGAAATTTTATCAGATGTTTCAAAGTATAAGTTCTGAATTCCTGGGGAATGGGAAGACATTTATTTTATGGGAAGCCAGCCTTACTGAACTTAGTAGACAATAACCTCACTTGACATCCTGATGGTCATTTTTCTCATTTGTTAACATCCACAACAGATTCAAATCTGCCAAGATACCCCCCAAAGCTTTACTCTACTGACCAATAGCTTAATATATGAAATCAATCTGGCTGTCTTACATAGATTATAACCTAAAATATGACCTTTCTGTTTTATAAAAACAAAAAACAAAAAGTAGTTGTTACAATAGCTTTATTCTTCCATTTTCCTGATGTTAAAAGTACCCCAAGCCAGGTGTGGTGGTTCACACCTATAATCTCAGCACTCGTGAGACTGAGGCAGGTAGGAAGGGACTGAAGCCTGTATGGCCACACAATAAAAGCCTATCAGTAAAAGAAGGTGATAGAATAAAACAGTAATACATGATCAGTGCAGAAACATGAAGACTACAAATTACAGAGAAGACACTTTAAATTCAGTAGATACCACTGTTAATAGTTTGGTCTAGTATAGCCTTTTGCTCGTTTTTGCCTAAGCAACACAAAACAGTTGAGAACACACTACATGTGAAGTTCTGGGGCCTGCTTTAAGTAAATATTAACACAGAAGCATTTCCCTCCCATTGGTGACAGGGGCTTTATATGTAAACACTAAGGAAACCGAGCCTTGATGGTAATTGACACTTTTTTTTTTCTGGTGCCAGTTTTGAATCTTCCACAATCTTGAGTCCCCGCATTTCCCTGGCTTCCTCGTGTCCCTTCCCAATGGTTCCCAGTCCATCCTTGTCATGAATTCCCTGCCTGTCTTTAAATGCAGGCTTCCCCAAAGCTCTTTCCTCGGCATGATGCCTTCCACACCCTGCAGAAGCTTCCTACAGAATGGCATTCAGTCTTGCAATTTGAGCTACCCCTTATAAACTGAGCCCCAAAACTACCTCCAGCCCCCACCCCTCTACCCAAGTGAGGTTCTTATTTAAGAGATGAAACTTCAAAACCCCATACCGTATCTAACAGTCAAATGTACAGGGAACACCTCAATCTCGACTGACTCCCCTGAACCCACTTCCATCTGAGTTCTCTCCTGCTTGGCGATGCCACCGTCCTTCACTGCCAGCCCTACCCAGGCACACACCAGAGCAGAGCTTGTCTTACTGCCACAAAGGGCTCCTAGATGCTTCACAGAACAGTGGTCACAATTCTCCAGTCTAAAGGACTCCTATTATAGCTGCCCACCCACCAGGCCCCTCCTGCCTGTTTATAAAATATCTTCTCTCTCTTGATGTCTCTCAGTTTTCTAAGCTCTACACAAAAATGAAATTGCTTCAAAGCGGAAACTGTGTTTATTCATCTTTACATCCCCAACAACTAGCAAACACTCCTCTTATTAAACAGACTTACTTCATAGACTTCATTCTGCAAACATCAATGTATAAATGACTTACACTTCATAGACTTCATTCTGCAAACATCAGTGTATAAATGACTTACTATATAAGTCCTCTGTGAAATGTTATTGTAGTGTGATGGCTGTTTAAAGTAACAATTCATAGTTAATTCTTCAAAATCACAGTCTCTATGATAGGAATTTTTTATGTGTCTCATTTAATTTGCTAACTTACAATCAGTATTTTATTTGTTCAAACATTAAAAATTAAACTCTAGCACTTAATCTAGTATAAAATTTAAAATACAAGAAGGTATACATTGGGGACTGGAGAGATGGCTCAGTGGTTAAGAGCACGGGCTGTTCTTCCAGAGGACCTAGGTTCAATTCCCAGCAACCACATGGCAGCTCACAACTGTCTATAACTCTAGTTCCAGGTGATCTGACACCTTCATACAGACATACATATAAGCAAAACACCAATGTACATAAAATAAAAATAAATAATTAAAAAAAGAAGGTATACATTGAACATTTCCTCTCTGATAAAAGTTTATTGTATGCATGGGTGGCAGGTGTATAGGTGATTTGCCCTGATCCTGCTTAATTGTTTACTGACCTGTAACGAGATATGTCATTTCCCTAAAAAATTAACTGTGAGGGCCATAGGTTGTCTCAGCAGGT